TCCCCTTTTTTTGGGAAGCTACCAGATGAAGAGACAGGGGTTAAGGTTGGAGGGGCTTGGAGGTGGGCTTAGGAATTAGGATTTAGGGTTCAGGTTTTAGGGTTAAGGGCTGTTGATGGTGGATGTAGAGTGAAGGGTATAGGGCTTAGGACTTAGGGCGTAAGGTTTAGGGCTAAGGGTTGTGAGCTGCAGCTTGGACTCGCAGGCCCCCTACTTTGTATGATGCTCATCCCTTGGCAGGACGCATGTGGTTGTCACCAAGAGCAGCCCGTACCACAAGAGGTGCCGTTGCTTGCTGGGGGGTCTACGCTTTGGGATTGTGGTTGGATACAGCATATCTCTGCAACAACATTTTTCTTCAGGGTCTTTAAGCCACGCATGTTTGTATGCATACGTATGCATGCATACACGCAAGAAATCTGCAGGTGAGGACTGAGCCTTTTGGAGACTTCTAGCACCGGGCACCTGAAGACCATTGGGGCAGAATGAAAGGCTAAGTGGGCTCGTTGTTCTCTGCAGCCCCGTTGACGACTTATTGGGGCCAAGTAGGGACTAAGGGAATATACTATATAGGGGTATATAGGGATTATATTCCCCTATCGCCTACTAACCACCATGTAAGAAAGCAGCCCTCCCTGTCGCCGCTCTTGTCTTGGCTGTTGTCACGTTGGCAAACGTATAGAGTTAGAGGGACTGTACATCTGCATGTCCCTGTGGGCGCCAAGAAGAATCCTACCTGACGTGGGAATGCAGGACCAACTTCATGAATGACATCTGCGCTTGGACAGGAGCTGGGAAGCCTGCTTTGTGGTATCTAGAGCCGGATTCGGGTACAGGCCCTATAATCCAGGGTCTGGATAGGGTGAAGAGACATGCTCCACTTGTTCTCAGATATTCAAGGTCACCCCATGTTCGACGCAAGAGCCTCTGGGAGTTTCTCGAAAAGATCCCCATTCATCCTTCGTAGGGACACGCACAGTCCCCCTGTGTAGTCCTCATCTATGCCACATGGAATGCTAGAGGCCTAGAGTCTTATGCTCTGACAGGTTCGAGGAAGAGAAGTACCGTGTCCGGTGTCACGGGGATTCAGAGGTTGAAGGTGTCGGAGCATGGCTACGTGGATCTACGTGGGGCCCTAAACTGCAGTAGCTTTGCCAAAAAGTAATCTCCTTGGGACTTAGCTTGGACCTTAGACCCTTAACCCTTTGGGATTCCCTTATATTCCTATTATAGGTACCTAAGGGTTAACCCTTAATAGGGGTCCTAAGTGCCAGGAAGTAATGAAAAGGCAAGTTTGTCAGCTGCAAGTGAAGCCCCGAACTCTGCAAAGAGCAGGATGGGAGCTGACGGTGAAGTCAGCTGAGCTGGTGCTGTTCTCGGGTTCCACGGTTCCATGTAGCAGGTAGCCAAGCAGTAGAAGAACTAGGAGTAGCAGCAGTGACAGCAGCATAGCAGCAGCAGTAGTCGGTGGGAAAGTCTAGGGTTCTGGGCTGGACGTGGACAGGCTCATGGTACGTTGACGCGTCAGACTGCATGGTTTCCAATACGAAGCCACCGCACAGAGGAACTTACAACCTACACGTGGGTGGTATTTCGTTTGGGGATACTATGGTACCCAATATAGAGTAAGATTATATCCTCCTTTTGGGGTATAGTATTTTATATAAGGAATATTATCTTACTAGGTTCACCGGTTCAACCACCAATAAAAACACTACTCACGTGTGAGCTTGCGAAGCATCTCCTAGTTGGTAGCGATGTAACCTGCCACAGCCATACGTCACATAACGTCACCCTGACAAAAGGTCCCATAAAGGCATGGGATTCCGTGTTTGTTTCGTGGTTCGTGGAGGGTATCTGAATTTCTCGATAAGAGGAATCAGTTTCCAGTATAGTCTTCAGCACATGTGAGGAAGACCACCTTAGCGGGAACCGCAAGTCGTATAGGCCATGCTAATGCAGGAAGGCGTTTGTGCATCGGTTTATAGGCCAGAAAATGTCCCACGCGTAAGATTTATGGAAGTCATCGCTTACGCTCCAGTGGGAAAGGCAACGGTAATTGCAAGTGCTCGGCGCAAAGCTGAGGTCCTGGCAGTTGTGCTTCTGCGGCGTCAGTTGCTGCCTGAGAAGGGCAGTCTTCAGGGTAGCTATGTAATCTGTAGTCCAAACTCCCTCGAGGGGACTCTTATATAGAGTTATTAAGAGGGATAGTCAAATTTTAGACTATAGCTCATATAATCTCGAAGCCGGAAGAATCACCAAGATTATCCCCTAGCAACCCTTATACGACTCTGGTACAACGTGCTGTAGTAGCCGGAGGACTGCGAGTGTCGGGGCTGAGACATTCCTCAACCAGGATTTGGGTGTACATTCTAATGCAGTTATATGGGGGCTAGCAGGGGACATTTTTGGCAAATATTCAGGCTTCTACGTGGTTGCTGCGGCTACTGCTTTGGCTCCTCCTTGTATTATTACTTGCTGTAAACCTCCTCTTATGGCTCATTTTCCTTCCCTTCCACTTCTCAGTGGCGCGTCTGGTGATATGAGTATTCTTGACCACAGACGTGACAGCAAGACTCGACGCAAAGAAGGACTTCGTCAGAAGCACGTGACATCCAACGCTAAATTTTCCGCATTTCAATGATGGCGACAGTTAGAAGTAAGAGTGCGAAAGGCAATATGGAAGCCGGCTGAACGTTTACAAAGCTTTCTGTCGGAAGGAAGGCTCAACTAGCGAGTCTTATGATGCAGCGTAGTACCGGTGTATCCGAATTTGCAACAGTCATGCTGGCAACATGAAGCACTGACGCGGATGTGAATCGTGGCAAGCATCAGTCATTTCCACAGGAACACAACAGCAAGAAGCCAGACTTCAAATGCTTGCGCTAGTACTTCCGCCGTCCAATAGGCGCCGGCCAGCGCTACCGCGCTACCAATCCTCGATAGGACATACAGGGCCCTTTGAAGTGGGAGCTTCTCAAAATGATCCTTTAACATCTTCTCACAAGTCCCCAGGAAGCTTCTAGGGTGTCCAGGGGTACAAGTCCCAGAGTCTTCTGCCGAAATTTACGGGCCGGAGCACCCCAGAAGCCTGAGACCTTGAGCTTCGGGTGTCAGGGTTCGGGTTTAACCCAAACCCTAAACCATATACAGTAGTAGTTTCGATTTTCTCTTTTCCATTATTCTTCTGTAGCCCACGTAAAAGTCTTATAGAACGGTTTATAATCCCTATACAATCCCTCTAACCCAGAGCACCAAGGCAGTACTCAAGTCTTGACTCGAACATCTATTTACTGGGTCAGTAAATAAAAAGGGAACATGTGATATAGGGATTACATAGGGATTAGGCTCTCTCATTCCGTAATTACCTCCAGCAAGTCTACCTCCACAACACCCCAAGCCCCAAACCTAGCCCTGAAACCAATCAGACCCGAAATTTCGTGTTGTCTGCGTTGCTGTGAGCTATTACAAAGGAAACCCTATTACTTAGTATATACCCATGATATGGTAACTTATTTTCTCTGAGTTCTTTAGGTATTAACACCAACCCAGTTGTTGTTGGCAGGTGTGTACCTCCTTTAGCAGATTGCGCGCCGGGCACTCGGGTTCTTGGCGAAGTCGCTTGACTGAGCCAGCCCGACCATCTGAGCTTCCCCTCAATTTTGGAAACCAAAATCCGTTTCTGTAAGCCCCTATATGAGCTACAGTCTAAACTCCTTAGATGGGGTTATATAGGGGATTATATCGGCGAGTATTATAAGGCTTATTCAGGGGAATATTAGAAATTTAGACTACAGCTCATATCATCCTAGCTTTCATTTCATTGTCCATTTTCGTTTTTGATGATCCACGACTGGGCTATATATCCTACGTAACCCTGTATTGCAAATCCACAATTCCCCAAGCCCACCCCAAAACCCCAAACCCCAAAATCGTAATCTCCTTCAAACCACTAAACCCCAAAACACCCCAGCCCCAAACCCTTTATGAGTACTCCAACACGTAGCCAGTGGAAATAAACTTTCGAGTACCCCAAGAAGTAGCCAGAGTTGTCGCCACGGCTCCGAACTGAGGCAAGACTTCAGCATCCGGGCGCGCGGCCAAGACTGGATCATTTAGGGTAGGGTTTTAGGGGTTTTGGGGGTCTAGGTGATGATTTGGGGGTTTCCATTTTTGGGGGGCTACATGGCATTTTATAGGGATTATGTACAGGTTCTGTAGGGTTTAACGTTTAGGGTTTCAAGTTTTTGGGTTGTTGAGATTGAAAACTGGCACATGAAATCAACGCTGGGATGGCGTAGGGCTTTATAGGGATTACGGTTTCCAAAAATTAGGGGTCCCTTGTTTTTGGAGGCCCCACAAAAAGGATCATGCAATCTTGAAATCTATTTTGGGGTCTTCGTATTTGTCAGAACTTCCATTTTCAAGTTCTTGTTACACCATAATACGGAACATATGGCTAAATATCCTTAACTACAGGTTCTGAGCTTATTCTTAAGTGGCTAGTTAAAACCCAACGAAAAGGGAAGTTTAGGGGTGGGGTTCGCAAAAGCGTGCCCATGCAAATCCTTGAGGCGGAGTCTATCTTTTTACGCTATGCTCTGCAAGGATGTCCTGATTTTGGCGAACTGCCACTTGCATAGGTGCTTACCCCTGTCGCCTCCAGTCCTCTTTCAATGCCACACATTTCTGCTCCAACAAAAACACGTCCAAATTCTATCAGGAATACTCAAAATATTAGTGGTCCTGTTAGGAGGTTCCTCATAGGAAGGACCTGTGTGAATTGTTGTTGATAAGGCAGACCTTCCAAACATTCCAGAAGGCTAGATAACTACCGATATTGTGGTCCTAGATACTTTGTATGATTCTGGTATTACGGTACACTGTAGCTCAGAAAGACTTACCTCAACATCAAATTTGTAAGTACTCTAGGTACCCCAGTAGTACGTTTCTCCCTGGGGTCTCCCTATGAAAGCTGAACATTAGAAAAAGGGGTACCCTTATTACTAAGGGGTCGCCGGGGAACCTAGTAGCTAGGCCCTTACACGGCCCGGGGTACCCTAAACCCCAGCAGTTGC